TGAGGGAATGGACAGGAGCTGTTGTGATCTGTAGCTCTCCAAGATCTTGTCTATAGTGTGGAGTTAGTTGTTGAGACTGTGAGCCTTCTCTTATGTGGGTTGCTGTTAACTGAAAGTATTTCATTGTGGAAACAGGCTACTTAGTCTAAGAAATGTTTTATTTCTGTGTGTGTTCAGTGTGAATTCTTGCTATAGAGCTGTTTCTCAGTGACTCGACATTTGTGTAAAACAGAGAAATCTAAGAGAGATTACTAATACATTTATTTTCATGAAGTTTGATCAGCATGTTCCAGTTATATCTGAAATATATGTCTTTTTTTGTTGCTGTCTAAAAAGTAGCCTTACAAGTTCCCAGAGCTCTAGCAGAGTGATGCTCTGCTAAGCAGCAAAGCCATAAACATGTCTAAAGGTAATGCATAGAATGTAAGAAGGTGTTAAATTTCCTACACCAGAGAATCTGTAATGATTCTCACATCATCAGAATAGTAGTAGAGCTCTAAGTAACACTTAATAGCCAATTAGTTCTTAATAGCTGATAATTTAGAGTGATGGTCTGGTATTTTGTGACCAGCATTATTAGTTATTCCAAATGTTGTTATGGATTTTGTCTCCTTATATCCTTAACTTTTAATCTTTAATGTATCTTCTAAAATATATATATATATAACCTATCTATCTAGATAGCATCTAGATAGCATCTATATAGATGGATATATAGATAATTTATATATGGTGCTAACTTTCTACAATAGATTTAAAATATCCAATAAATTAATTTAAAAATCAGAGGAAGGAAAACAAGGAAACTGCTGTCATTAAAAATTGTCAGTTCATCTGGTAAGAAAAGTTGAAAAACGAGTCTCTGTTTTTTTACTCACTAACTGTTCATTTCATTTTCTGTGACTCAGAGTGATCTCCAGCCTGATAAATTACAGGTGTGCTACACCTACAGGTTCTTCAAAGAGCTGCTCCTGAGCAGACACACCTACACTTTAACCTAAATGCAGATTCATATAACCAGAGAATAAAAGAAAATCCCTCTGTATGTCCATGTTTGCAGCATCCCTGAAGATGATTGTCCCAGAATAGGCAACTTCCTAAAAGGGAAGAGGCACTGCAGGTACAGTGTGTTGCCTGTGCTTGTTGTGGTAGTGCTCCAGGAACTACAGAGAAAGGGAACAACAAAGCATTAAGCACAACATGTGAAGAGAAGCTTTCCCTTTGCAAGGACTTAGGACTTCAAATAGGTTGCAGCTTTGCTGGTTTTTCTCCCTGCTTTCATAGTAATACATAAAAAGGAAAACACTGGGGTTGCATCCTTACTGGTGAGCAGTCATCTGTGATTATCTGCACCTCTGCTATTTGTAGCTATCTATAGTGAAAAGCCCTCACTGGCTAAGCATCCTAATGCCTCTCTACCCCTCATTAAGAGAACTATTTGTGCTGCCCAATGTGTATGTGTATGTTCTGTCTGAACACAGACTGCAACTCTGAACACATGCTCCTGAGATACAGTTCTCTGTTGAGTTTGTACTCTGAAAAAAACCCCTATGAAACCACATATAAGTGCTTCTTAAAGATTAGATTATCGAAGTCTATCTGGTACTAACCATCTGTAAAAGTGACATGTATCTTGAACAGACCTGTTTGAAGATGGCTGAGAAAGAAAATTCAGCATTAAGCACATTTCATTTTGAAGTGTCTAATAACTGTATTTTAATAAGATATTTTTCATTAGTGACAAATTAAAAGATAAGTAATTTAACTTGGGGTAATGTATACTTGTAGTGTACAGTACTAAAGCCATCTTGATAATTTTATACGTTTAATAAAGTTGGTGAAACAGTCTTTCAGCATGACTAATGGGTTTTCCTTGGAGAGTCTGAGACAAAATTTCTTCCTCTGTTTCAAGGATGCTTCAAGAAACATGTGAATAATTGAATTTTTCTTTCTCTTGTGTAGGAAAGAAAGCTCTATTTTTTAGTAAGGCACAGTGGGAGAAATCCAAATTATATAAACTTTAAACATTCATATGCAGAGCATGATGCAATGAGCTATACTGGGGCTGTGAGGAGTAGGTGTGAAATGTCTAACAACTTCAGTATAAAATATTTCTCACATCTAACCATTATTAAGAGTTCAGAATTTTCCCATTCACACTCGGGAGAAAGCAAGACCTCTCAAAATGTATGGCAAGAAGGGAGGGAGGGAGAGAATCCTAAAAATAACAAGTAGGATATGTCATTCATCAATGATTAGGGAGTCCCCGACTGAAATCCCCGTCTTGAGACAGGCTCAAAGGATAAATCCACCCATGGTTCAATGTACAATGCAGACATCCAAGCTAGTTTGCTCAGAGCTAGTTCACACTCTGGAAGCAAATGAGTTACACTAACTCTGCGTGGTGCTGAAAAAACATGTAAATGCACTGGGTAAAGCATGAAAGAGTGAGTGGAACAGCCAGGCTTCACACCAGGCCCATAACAAGTCAGCTTTTGACTTCATCTTGTAAAAATATTTTTACCTGGCTGTGATTGATTTTTATGCCAAATGTATCCTGTAATTCCCAACAATATGCTGCTCAAAACACAGAGACAATATACTTTATTATTATTGTCAAAATATGTCAATGGTATAATAACTTTTAATAACATGCAGAATATTTCATTATTATAGTGCTTTACACATATTGTTATTTTATAGCATACATAACATCAATAATAATAGCATGACTACTTGTGATTATTTATTGCCTCAGTGAAAGCAGTATCTTTTTAAAAACATATAAAGTATGACTGCTTTTATTTCATATTACTTTGTAAACATAGCACGTGGAAGAACTATCAATGCTCTTTATGTTTCTCTTCTTTATTAACATTTTGCATTAACAAATTTAAATGTACGGGTTATTGACTCCATGTGCCTTCCCAAAACATGCAAATAGTAAGAAAATATACACAAC